CAATAGCGTAATCGATAAGCGTATTGGATTTTCACGCTAGTGACCCGTTTCAATTCCCAATGTGTCCAAAATATGTTTAATCCATTTTCAGCTCGATTTTATGGGTTATTTTTTGGAATCGGACGGAAGACCTACTCGTTGCTCGCAACGAGATCGTTTCTAGTTATTATTATTTTTATTCTTTTTTTTTAGACAAAATTTTGTGCAGGCGATTTCTCGTAAAGTATTCGATGGATTTCAATGAAAATTTCAGGAATTATAGGTCATTATATGAATTTTATATAAAATTCCGTTTTTTGGAAAATTCGGTACCAGTGCCAAGTTATGGGCAATTTCCTGATTTTAAAATGCAATTTTGTCTTTGAGTGTTCTCTAAAACGGCTAAAGATGTTAACTGGAGACTTGTTAGAGATGATAGACCATGAGTTATAGATATGCAATTTTGACTTCGTTTTGCGTCGTAAGTACTTCCGGTCGCTACAGGAAGTGAATTCAAAATGTACACTTTTTCAACTTTTTTTGTTTTTCAATATTTTTCTTTGATATAATTAATGGTAATTAAGACCCTACTGGAAAGGACAAATATATAATTTATCTAAGAATTGATCAATCCACACACTAGATATTCGCATTTAAAAATCTGAAGCGTGTCCAAGATGGCGGCGGTCTCGGTAAACTCCGCCATTAAGCAAGTCGGGTTCTAGAAGGTCACCTGAGCGTTTAGATGAACGAAACTTCTACCAAAAAGATTTATGAAATGTAAAGGATTCATTTGATTGCTACATCGCAATTACGTTGCATTGAGTATACTTTTAACATGAGGTTTCCTCAAACTTCTATTGAAATCGCTTTTGTCTGCATCTCAAAGTAGAATACAACCTGACTACAAGTGGAAATACGATGACTTCAGCCTTTTATTTTGCACCAGGGAAAACTTATCCTAAACCATGGTTATAATACTTTTCAAAAAAACTTGCCTGACTTAATATTCACTATGTTTCTGAAGTATGACTTGACTTCTGTTTATTTTACTTTACCAGGCTTGTGACATATTAAATGAACAGAAGAGACAAAAATAAGAAAAAACATTTTTAAAAGATTGTTTATTAAAGGTTATATGAATATTCTTGTAATAAATGCAAGTTATTGACATAAATAGTATCAGATTCCTTGACCGTCGGAGGACGAGTGATTTTTTTTTTCATGAACGTGTAACTCATCTCCACTTTGGGGGTAAACAGGATACAAAATTCGTGGAAAATCTTACCGAATTCACAGCTTTATTGTTACTTGGCCGTATACGAAATTATATTTGTATAATGTGATACATATTCTCGTACTTTCTAACGCTCGAAATTCTGGTTATGAGAACATACATTTCTAATTTTCATTAAAGCTATCACATCCATTAAATAAATCAAACATTTCAAAGGAATAGCGTTAAGAACTACTTGTGACGTTTGGCACGAAATAATGAATCATGACCCGACTTAGTAGTAGACAAATGGCGACAATAGTACAGAAATATATAACATTGGCATGCCTGTATATGGAGTTGCATGGGATAAAAAGTTGAATGCATATCGAAAAAAGGAAAGAAAACTGTATCATCTGTTCATCATTAATAGATTATCTATCCTAAAAATTACTGTTAAAATTCAAGTTACAAATTCCGATGTGATCATCTTGACAAAAGTTTGGCAAGCTGGCTGTCATTTTACAATTCCATACTGAATTTTTAAAAAAAAGTAATGTATGTTGGAATAAAAAAAGCAATCTCGAGATATTCGAATGTTAAATTTGAAGCGGGTTCCCAAAGGTGTAATTGGTACCGCAATGGATTTTCACGACCCGGATTCGATCCCCCGTATGTCCGATTTTTTAAATCACTTTTTCAGTTTGATTTTACGTTGTTTTTTTCTGAATCGGACGGAAGACCTCTCGTTGCTCGCAACGAGTTTCGTTTCTAGTTATTATTATTTTTCTTCTTCTTCTTCTTCCTGGGTACTTTTTTGTCCGGGAGTGATCTTGTAAACTGTTCGTCCGATGTAGGTAAAACCTTTTAAGGGTCAGTAGACATGTTATGTAGATTTGTGGAATCAAGGTCATTTTGCGCGCACGTGCTTGCAAGAGCGTGCACGTGCAACACGTGAAATGACTAATATAATGGATATTGGCGTAACTTTTCTATTTTTTATGAATTTTTTTGAAACTCATAATGTAAGGATATATTAGAAGTATAGACAAGATAGCATGGTCAAAATAGCAAGATCTCACGCGCATGCACGTGCGCTTCGCTCTGATTGGCTGAAACTAAGTCTCAATATCTTTCTTGTTTCTTGTCATAATCTTTTGAAATTTTGAACATAGTCCTACATTATGAAGATCTACAGCATGATATAAAAGAATTTTCATGAAAGCATGCGCATGCAATGCTGTAATGTGATTGGCTGAAACTTTAAATGGCTATATTTCCTTTGTTTTTTGACAAAATGCTTTGAAATTTAAAACATAGTCATGCATTAGGATATCTTACAATATGATATAGAAAAAAATCTGATTGGCTGAAATTTGAAATGGCTATAACTCCCTTGTTTTTCAACCAAACAGGATGGGATTTGGAGCATAGATATATATAATACACTTCTACAAGAAAGTGTGGTCACCATGCACATGCATACATGTGCGTGTACGTGCGCTGCAATCTGATTGGATGAAGCTTTAAAAGATATAACTCCCTTGGTTTTCAACCAAACGTGGTGAGTTTTAGAATATATATAGATGTAATGGACTTCTACAAGAAGGTATGGTCACCTTGCTCATGTATGCACGTGCGTGCACGTGAAATGGGTAAAATAAAAAAAAACTTGAATGAGCATTTTTTTTTATACTTTTGGATTAAATACTTTAATATTTAGCATATTAAAATATATAGATTGTGTAGACAATATGATATGGTCATCACGCACATCATTCACATGCGCAAGTGTGCAATGATAAAATTTGAATGAACATAGTACACTTTCGGGTGAACGTTGTTAAAGTCTCAAATGGATAGAGTTTGTCTTATTTAATTACGCTTACAGGGAATATGACTATAAAAGGGAGTTGGGGAGCGTTTGGGGAACATCTGTAACGGTCCCCGTTACAATTAGCACAAGTTCTTTTTAATATGCTAAACACGAGATGAGTCCATCCTTAAGTTATGTGTTGTTCTACACACATTGTTCACAATACGTATGGTTATGTTTTATGCCTGTGCAATTCAGCGATGTTAACGACTTAGTCCCAATACTAAAGGAATCGATTAGGTCTAGACTTACGCCACTTCGTGAAACGCAAATTGTCCTCACCTACGTAAAATTCTGGCGTAAGGCCAGTACGTACATCTAAGTTAAGGCTTACATTTTCGAATTTTGATGAAATGGGTCCCTGATGAATGTAATGTCAGGGTAAAACCAGGAAATTAAAATAATTTCAGGTGTGTCTTGAACATAATCTTGTATGATTGTGCTTTTGTATGTATGCGAACATGAGTGAAAAAAGGTGTTTAAATGGTGAATGCAAGTTTTTTGTATCAATGAAAACATTTCACTCTATTTCATTTCATCGATTGATTTTTTTTAACATATATAGGACTGAGTAAAACGAATAATAAGTTACCAGTGAAAAACTATTTTAATAAATAAATTGTTTAATTGCACTGTAATGAATAGTAAAGTAAGCCATTTTTTCTTTATTTGATATAATCTAAATAAATATTTCAACCTAAAATTTTAGGGTTTTTTTGTATTTTTACGATGCATTATGCAATCTAAAAATCAATCATCAAAACCGTTCGACCACATTAAAGGTTATTCATGTTGAAACAACTTTAAATTGCATATTTTTCATGAATATTTTGCATTTTGTTTATATGAAATTATTGACCATTTTGTCCAATGCATGAAATTGTGAATTTTTTTTATTAAATTTCAGTTAAAAATCACATAGTATAATTTGATTCAGAATGATTTTTTTACAAGATAACAATAATTATTTAGATTTTTTTCATCTTAAATGACTACAAATTGATTATCTTTACGATAAACTGAGCTGCAATGAAAAATGTAGAAATTTTTTTTATATCAACTCAATTCCATAAGTATAAATATATAGTATGAGACATCTTTTAATTATGACTTACTTTATTTGTATTAAAGTATATATTCTTATCGTTCTTAGAATTTCTTTTGTTATGTCAGGGACTACGTACCTACGTTTTTATGTGCTTTATGTATTAAATACATGAACACAGGAAGTTCTTCTTACAATACTAACTACAATAATAAACTTTCCAATTTTTTAACAAGCAACTTAGCTTTAAGTGGGGGCAAATACATTTTGTTTCTACATATACTGTACCAGAATATATTGTGAAGAATCATGAAGTGAACCGTTTATATCTTCATTTAACTGAGAGAAAAACTTATCTTAGCCGTACAACTACAATATTATGCATTGAGAAGTAATAATTCCTTGAAGACCCCCAAGCCACATAAGCCTGTATTTCAGTTGTATGATCCCTGTCAGTTTTAACTGACTTTAAAAGATAACATTGCAAGCCCAGTAACATGAACTTATTTACCGGCACATTTAAGTCTGTAAAAAGGAGAGGCTTAATTCATACGGGAAATATTAACTATAACATCACACAAATTTATCAGTTCTTTAAAATGCCACAGAATGAAATGATTTGTAATTTTGAACTGTACCTGAGAATTAAACCAAATTGAAGATTGCTGTAACATGCTGTTTTGTAGTTAAGTCAATCCCACCTAGCAATGTATAGACTTGCCAGTGTGATTTCATTTCGTAAAGTTTGACGCAATTTGTTTCCAGTGAGATATAATAGCAGATTTAGGAAGAAAATAACCTTCTTGAAGCATTATATAATAGATATTGTTAGGATTTACAAATTCAATATGCATTCCTATAATTTAATTGAAGTAGCATCTTACCTTTTAAAACTTGTACACATTTACCACCAATACAAATGCTATCCTCAGTACAGACGTTGTTTAAGCAATTGCCCGCCAAGTGCTGAAGTGAAATCAACCCATAGTTGTGATTCGATTCGTTTAATATGTAATTAAATGCATTTCAGTGAAAATGATTCAATTTGTTTTCTTACCACTGGAAAATTTTCCCGTTCGGCATGAAAGGTCATGCCGTTAGTCATTAGACTGATGTCATGCTTGACGATAAACTTTGAGTTTAGCCGACATATCTTTTCTTCTTGTATCCAATCCACTGAGAGACACAATTTAAACTTAAAACAAATCATCATGCACATTGCAATGTCGGCATTTCTCAAAAGGTTAAAACCTGGATGTGAGGAATTTTTATAATTGCTAATGAGCAAAGATTTGGGGTCGAATGGAGCGGAGCACTGAGAGTAGCACGTCTGTAACAGAGCAAGGAATTGTCCAAAACGATAGAGACTGATCATCGTAAGACTTTTAAAGTGTGCCTTTAAAACGATATCTTTGTCAAATTGAGCGATCGGTTCTACCAAAACAATCGACTATCTCAATTGTCCTTCTCTCTGTAAAATATATAGCAGTGCGTAAGGATTGTCTATTTATAATTAATGAGGTAACACGTGATTGTTTTTGTTAATATATGTCCTCCATCTGATCTGACCATTTTGAAAATCTCTTTGAACTTTATCAAAAATGCAAATCCACCAGTTCTCCCCTTCCTGAACAATTTCTTTGTGGCACAGAATGGTCTCTACAAAAATTTCAAAAATAAAAATAAAATAATTCTTAAATTACAAAATCAATTCTACAAGTTATATTAAAGTAACTTATCATCAGCAAACAAATGTATTCCCAATTCACCGACACAGATATATAATTAAGGAATGAAGCTAATTTCAACTTATGTTATCCGATATAACATAACTTGGGGCAGTTTACGCTTTATAAACCGCGAAGCGGTTTATAAGAAAGCGTAAACTGTCCCAAGTTTTGTAATCGGAAAACATAAGTTGAAATTACCTTCATTCCGTATAATTTAGTTTCTGTGTAGACAATGAGACAATATTTCCTCCGGAAAAAGGCTTCAAATTGAGCATTATTTTAAAAGTAACGTCAAGCGGAGTAATAGGTTTTTGACGTAACTCATTGTGACGTAGGCAAGTTATGTTATACAAAATGTAATATGTTCCTCTGAATGATTCAGCCAATGAAATAGCTTGATACAAATGAAATTTAATTATTACGAGATAAAACTAATGTCATATATGTTATATGTGTGTTTTGTGAAATCCTATGATGTAATTTGCAAGACACTGTTGGAAGATATGCTTCATGATAAAATTATGAAAAGCATTTTTTTTTTATTTTGACAATTGAATTGAATTTGCAAGACTTTTACACTATTGGAAGATATGCTTGATGTTAAAATCATTAAAAGCAATTTTTTTTATTTTTGTCAATTGAATTTGGAATATTCAAATAGTATTATTGCCAAAAATTAAGAAGATTCTGACATAAATATATTACTTTTGGACAAAAAAAATTACAGACAAGTAGATAGGCAGAAAAACAGACTTTGTGATTCCAGGATATCCCAAACTTTGTTGGGAAGAATATAACAAAGTCTGTTAAACAGTGTGTAGTTACCTTAACTTTGAAACATGCCTAGGATCTTTGGATTTTTTCTTATGAGAGGCTGACTGTATATTGAACCTGTAAAACCAAAATTAACACAGTAGATATTTTCTTAGCATAACTAAAACTTAAACTACAAAAAAGAAAGAGTATACAAGCTTGTAGGTTCTCAATAGTCTTAAATATCATACATTTAACCTGAAACTAGGTTCTCTACTAGAATAGGATTTTTTTTTATAAATGTCAGTCAATGAATACATAGATGTAAATACTAGTATTCAATGGATTAGCTATCTGACGTACTTTCAACACATACAGATGCATATGTATTTGTACCTTGAAAGTTGCCACTGATATTATTATACCCCCTGAAGTTTTGTATAGTTTCGTAGCTTTTAAAGCCAGCATATTCTATTCATACTTACCATATTTTAAAAGTGCATTGGATTAAAATTGTTTCATAATGTAAAATACAACTTCTATATTATTGAGTTGAATTTATTTTTGATGAAGCCATGCAAGCAATGTAGAATTATAAAGGAACAAAAAGAATTTTTCAAGAAATATTTTGTCATAAAGGAGTCATTACAGATGTACACTTTGATTTTTTATTGCAAGTAAATGCAATCGTCTGTCACAATCAGCTTTTGGATCAATCGCCAGTCTTATCAGCTTTGGGCTTCTTGGACTTAATAATAAAAAAAGCAGCACGGTGGCACTGAACTCAAGTTGTTGAATGCATCTATTGGCCATAAAAACAAACATTTGTCGTTAAGTTGATGAAAGAATCGACTTGATAGCTATCTCAACATACAAAAACGCCAAACTGCTATACAGGGTTTCTACTTTCACTTTCAAATCAGTACGTAACAAAAGTCAAAACAAAAAGAAAACATGTCTAACATGTAAATTGTAATGTTAGCATCCATTTAGAAACAAATTTATCCAAAATTACTTACAGTTCACTAACGTTATGTAGGTTTACGAAATGCATTAATTTAACAATTACAAGTGTTGAGAGTATTACAGAGATGAGTTCATACGAACCTGTAACCGCAATGAAACGATATTTAAACAATATAAATTAAAGGTCTTTAAAAAATTGTTAGGAGATTACTTACTTTTTCTGCTTTTTCCAACTTCTGCTGCAGCAGTGACGTACACTTTCATCCGATAGAAGTCAAAACCGGTCCGGGAAAAATAGGGATTTTTTTTTATTTTACTCAAATAATAAACCCAAACCCGAAAGATTTGAAATGAAAAGCAAATTAATTTATTATTTGTCAATTTTGTCTGGGATATGCATTATTACAGAAAAAGAAAATTGTGCAAGTTTTTTTAATAAGGGAAAGCGGGGATGTTAAACAGAATACAACTTAACATTAGTTATTGCTAACATATTCTTTTGAAATTGATGTACATTGAAATTACTATTGAGATATATTATTGAAATTGCAAGTTTTCTTGAGTATTCCAAGGGCAAATTAGTGAATACTGTTTCATATGATTCTCATATGATCACCGTGTCTTATGATTCTCATATGATCACTGTCAAAATATTCATATGATTTTTACATGAGTATAACAAGGGCAAATTAGTGAATATGGTTTCATATGATTCTCATATATTCAGTTTCACATGATTCTCATATGACCACTGCCAAAATGTACATATGATTCTCATATGTAGGACCTTTCATATGAGAATCATATGTATATTACTTCATATGATTAACACATGCATGATCATATGATTCTCATATGATTGGCCACATATGATTCTCATATGATTGTATAAACATATGATTCTCATATGATACACATATGATCGTCATATGAAAGGCAATACATATGTGGATCATATGTGGCTAAATTGCCTATGTAGCTGTTACAGAAAAGCAACCAAAAAATGTATTCATATGCCGTTTATATACAATCAATTTTGTCATAGCGGTCACCGTGATCCAGCAGTCACCTGTCGTACGTGGGTATTTTATTTCCTTCCAATGAATTTCTCTAGATAATGTAAAACTATCAAGCGGTTATCTGCGTTACGCGCTCAGCAGTCATCAACTTTCATGTAAAATCGCTGCTTTATCTCCATCAAGCGGCCATGATGTTCAATCATGTGACCAGACTCAGGTGACGCCAAATTTTGTCACCAATATAAATGATTGGTCTAGTGTGGAGAGATTATGGAAAAATTAATAAGGTTATTTTAAAAATATGGGATAGTTTTCTTATTTTTTTCAATGTTTAGTTTTTTAGTCGCCAGCGTGTCACAATGGTTAAAGTGTCTGCTCTAGAGTCGCAAAGTAAGGACTGTGGGACCGGTTTTTCGAATATGAGCATATAAACCAAGGTCCAATGTCGCAGTAGTTGCCTGCATGATAAAGATCCCTCATTGTTTAATAGCCATAAGGGGCTAAAATAGGACAAAATTTGCAGCTCTCCGCCATCGATTGCGTGTCTATAAGAGTATAAAATTGTCGAGAGGGACGTTAAACAACAAACAAGCAAACAATCACACTTAATTTTCAAACAAAACTCAAATTACGGCGCTAATGACAGAAATGGTTGTCATAAAAACCAGCTTATGAGAATCTTAATCTTCTGCAATTGGAATCTGCTTGAAAATCTCTGTTCCTTGGTTTATATAAAAAATGCAATGGATAACTAAGATGCTAGGGATATCCTTCCAGAATTTCATTGATTCTGTGCCAAGGGTTCTAATTGTATAAGCACTGTAGGACTCAATTATAAAACGCAAAACTTGTAAGTTTTAAAAGCCCCCTTTCTCAGTTTATTGCAGATAATCTACATGGATAACTATGACGAACAAGGGTTCTTTCTCCACAAATTCTAAATAAATGGTCTCAAGGTCAAGGGATTCGTTAATAGGAGAGAGGCTGTATTTCATTATAACATTGTATTGTGAAGGATCAATATTTGTTTTTGAAAATCTACTATCCCCTAGCCATGTACATGATGTAAAAGAGATTTTATGTTTCTATGGATTTCTAATATGAGAAAAGTCACCTGGGATTGCTGGGGAAACTTAAAAAATCGGTCAAAAATCGGACAAATATACTGAAAAATCTATCAAACCGGTCAATTAAACTTTCTTTTTTTGCATATACTGTGTAGTTGAAATATTGGCTACTCGGCATTAAATAATAAATCATTTCTCCTTGGAAAATAAAAAAAAGTGAAAATGTGGCAAATACTATGATATCAAAATAATGCTTTCAATGGATGATCGTGGAATATCATTTGTCATTCATCCTTGTAATCGAAGGCGTTCATTGTCCTACATGACTTAATTATGTGTTTTGCAAATGATAATTTCATGTCTAACAAAAGACTACAATAATACAGCTCTTTAATTATATATAGTGTTTCTGACAATGTGGTGCAAATAATGTATACCTTTTGCAGATCATTTCGATTATAGTTCATTACATCAACAGAAAATGATAATTATTTCCCAGAGGAAAGTAAATTTAATGCATATTTAATTTCCTACATAGAAATCACAGGAAGGAGACATAATTTATTTAATAATATATTGAAAAAATAAAATCAATACTGTTCTCTAGATCTCATCTATGGATACCTTGTCGTGTTTCAGAAACAGTTCCTTCTAGAACATGTTCT